AGGATCACGTTATAATGATTCCAAAAAATTGTATAACTTCGAGTATCTTCTAATAGTCAAATGGATTACATCGTAGTATTAGAAATAATTTACGCCCAAGAAAGGAAAAAAAAAAAAAAAAAGCATATGCATTCTTGGTGATTATTGTTTTCCAAACATCCCCCCATCTTTTTTTCTGCAAAATCAAAATATTTTTATTTAATAACAATATTTATATTATTATTTATTTATCTAGGGGGGGCATTATAGGAGCTAGCAAAAACACCAAATGAATTACGATTTTATTTTTTTTTTCTAGAAAAAATAAACAAATAAACAAATTAAAATTGTAGATAAGGTTTATTTCTTTTAAATAAGACAAAAATTCTTCATTAAAAATAACAGGTGGAACAAAAAAAAAAAAACAAAACAAATTTAAAAATATTTGTGTTTGATTTTAAAAATACGTGCAGATTGAAATGCCAAGAAAAGAGAGTTAGGGTAATACATGGCAGAAAATTGCCTGTAAAAAAAAAAAAAAAAAAATAGAATAAAAAAGTCAAAATTAGAAATACAATAGCGCACGAATAATACATTTCAAAATGGTACCAAAGTACCTAAGAATAAGCATATAGCGTTTGGTGATATCTAATGGTTCAATTGCACCATTGTACAAATGACTTGTATATCTACAGTACAAATTTCCATCCGGGGTAATAACGATATTTGGAGTTTCTATAAATAACATCGGATTTTTTCTTGATGATTTTGTCTCATCATTATTTTTAAAATTCCTCATGATGTCAGAGGATAATTCCTAATATTGTTGCGAGGATCGTTCATTACATAGAATTGCCAAGGTCAAAAGTGGCAAAGGAAAAGGAAATAGGAAAAAAAAGAATAAAAAAAAAATTCAGGGGACTGACGAATGTCGTGTTTGTGGTGATCGATGCGCGTGCGTGTAACCGAATGACCCAATTCTACTACGAAAATAGAAATTTTTGTTGGATCCGATACCTTATTTTTTTTGTACTTTACGAGATCATTCTCATTGTACAATATATTTACACCATTCGCATTGAAGAAATGAATCCTATTATATAACAACACGTAATCATCGTCACAAATCAGATCATTTTCAAATGTACATAATTAGCTGACTCTTTGATGATGTGAAACATATAACTCGAATTTTCAAGTTTTTTTTAACGAGAAACGGTTTGGTCTGATGCACACCGGGATCTTCCAATGATTTCTTTCAAAAACTTTACTTTTATGTTACGTTTCATGGGAAAAGGCGTCTATGCCTTAAAAGTTCGGGATAAAAAAAGAAGAAAGCGGATTTGTTACCAAGGTATTTCGAATAGTCGAATGGGTAAAGCGTGAGGCTGGTCGATTGTGTATTGAGTTCTCCACAATCTTTTTTGTCATTGCATATCCGTGGCTTTATATCCCGGTAAATCAAACTTACCAAATTTAGGTTATAAATTTGCCCGTGATGCATTTGAAACAAACGGTAGATTGTAGGTACCAGAGGCTTATA